TCCAAGGTCAAGGTTCTGGCAATGGATAAGGGCCTTCTTGCTGAATTCTCACATGGCAGGAGTCAGAAGTATGAAAAAGGGGATGAACTTTGTGTCCTCACGTGGCAGAGGAAGAGACAGAACCCACTCCCAAAAGCCCTTTCCATGGCACCATGAATCCATTCATGACGGTGGAGCCCTCATGACCTAAACACCTGCCATTAGGGTCCCCACTCCAGCACTGCTGCATTACAGATTAAGTTGCCAACACATGAATTTTGAAGGACACATTCAAACCAAAGCTAATGCACAAGAGATGATGGTAACTTGGAGCAGAGTGATGAGAAATGGCCAGATTCTGGCTCAGTGCCCATAGCACAGTGGTTACAGCATCAGCCACATACACCAAGGCTGGTATGTTCAAACCCAGGAACCTAGTAGGCCCAGCCAGCTAAACAGCAATGACAACTGCAACATAAAATAGCCAGGTGTTGTGGCAGATGCCTGTAATCCCAACTACTTAGGAGGCTGAGGCAAGAGAATTGCTTGAGCCCAAGAATTAGAGGTTGCTGTGAGGTGTGACGCCATGGCACTCTACCAAGGGCAACATAGTGAGTCTGTCCCCTGCCCCCCAAAAAGAAAGAAATGGCCAGATTCTGGAAATCTGAAGGTAGAGTCAGCATGTACTCATGGGCCAGTTATAGAGTGCAAGGGCGGTGGGGAGGGGATCAAGGAAAAGTCTGAAACTTTGGACATGAGTAAGCAACTAGAAGGATGGAGTCCAATACGTGCTGGATTTCCTTGTCCCCACCACCTGCCACCATGGGTCCTCTCCATCCCAAAGATTTGGATTGCTGTCACTCGCATCGCAGTGATGTCATTCCACTCTCAGTGAAAGAAGCTTACAAAGCCCTTGTATTCAAAAGAACAGATTTAAAGCTGCGTGTAGTTTTGCTCATCTAAAGGCTGATTTGCTTCTGAGACCTGTGACTTCTGAGGCGGCATCTTGAAAGCTAATGCTGCTCCCATCCTGTCCAGCAAAACCCTTGCCCTGTGTTCTAAAATCTGTACTTCCATGATTCTGCAATCTTGTAATGATTACACTGGAAAAATTCCTCTATTTTTCAGGGATCCAACAATATCATAATACTGCAATTCTGCATATTGTAAATATATCAGACATACTCTGAATGTTATAAGTATACTGAAATTCTATTCATTGTAACCTGGTACGTTGATTGGTTGGCCAAGTGCAAAGGAACCAGCTTTCTCAGAGAAGAGAAGTACTCCTGGCTCTTAGGAGTTACGCTGTCGACAGATACATACTTGATAAAGCACGTGCCACTCTGACAAATGAATCAATGTAGTGTGCCATTGTAAGCGCAAACTTTTATTAATTTCACTTTTTCTGGTTTATTCACTTTATTAGTTCAAGGAGAAGACAGATTGTTTTAAACACAGTAACAATATACATGCAATGAATGATAGTTTTGTCCTAAGCCAAGACATTAGATAATGAAAACAAAGCAATATCACTTTATCTTAAACACTGGCCCGTTACTTTAGTATTAAAATAGCGGCATTTGAGTTTAGAGCCAATATTCTGGATCTTTGTGCAAAAATACTGCCTTTAGTATATTTGCACAAAAGTAGCATCAATAAACCATTAAGCATCTATCTGCTTTCAACACACAAAAAATAGCTTACTGTCCTTGGCAGTAGATAATACGTTGCTTTCAATTAGACAAATTAATTTATATTTCTGTGTCAGACATTATCTAGCAGCATACATCCATTTCATTAGAAAAATTCCAAATCATCACATTCCAAATATAAACTACATTTGCTTTTATATTGAATTGTTTGGCAAAGCGAACATTTAAAATACAATAAAAGGGGTTGGGCACAGTGGCTTACGCCTGTAATCCTAGCACTCTGAGAGGCCAAGGTGGGTGGATTGCTTGAGCTCAGGAGTTTAAAACCAACCTGAGCAAGAGCAAGATCCTGTCTCTAAAAACTAGCTAGGGCTTGGCACCTGTGGCTCAAGCATCTAAGGTGCTAGCCACATACACCTGAGCTGGCAGGTTTGAATCCAGCCCAGGCCCACCAAACAACAATGACGGCTGCAACAAAAAAATAGCCAGGTATTGTGGTGGGTGCTTGTAATTCCAGCTACTAGGGAGGCGGAGGCAGAATTGCTTGAGCCCAGGAGTTGGAGGTTGCTATGAGCTGTAATGTCACGACACTCTACCCAGGGTGACAGCTTGAGGCTTTGTCTCAAAAAAAAAAGAAAATAAAAATAAAAATAAAAAACTAGCTGGGTGTTGTGGCAGGCGCCTGTAATCCCAGCAGCTCAGGAGGCTCAGGCAAGAGGATTGCTTGAGCCAAGAGTTTGAGGTTGCTGTGAGCTGTGACGCTGTGAGCATTCTACCAAGGGCAACAAAGTGAGTCTGCCTCAAAATCTAAATAAATAAATAAATAAAATATAATAAAGGAAAAAAGCTTCATATAACTACCTCTAAATAGATGCCTACTAACTCTAAAGCCTCCAGGCTGCTTTCCCCACTGGGCTGCAGACTTGCCTGTCTTGTACCTCCTAGTGTGTGTCCTTTGCCTCCAACTGCCCAATTCCTATGTCTCATGCATTAGCAATGACTCCATCCACCTGGTCAACCAGGCTCAAAACTTGAGTCTTTAACCCCTTTCTATACTTCATTTCCTGTATCTAGTTTGTTGCCCAGTACTCCCCTTTGAACAGCTTCCAAACTGGCTTTCCAGTATCTAATCTCCTCCCCTCTGCTAGAATTTTTTTTTTTTTTTGAGGTGGCATCTCATTCTGTTACCCAGACTAGAGTGCAGTGATGTCATTGTAGCACTCTGCAACCTTAAACTCCTGAGCTCAAAGTAATCTTCCAGGTAGGAATACAGACCACCATGCCCAGCTAATTTTTTTTTTTTTAGAGACAGTGTCTCACTATGTTGCCCAGGCTGGTCTCGAACTCCTGGTCTCAAGTGATCCTCCTGCCTCAGCCCCATAAAGCGCTAGGATTTTAGCCATGAGGCATCATGCCTGGCCTAGAATTCTCGTAGCTCAGATCTTTGTTATTTGCTCAAAAACCTTACAGTTTTCTTCCATTTTCTAAGGAATAGCCTCATAAATAGTACCCAAGGTTTTCCAGTTTCCCCCTGCATCTGTTCTCATTGTCCTCAAAATTTAATTTATAGAGGTGATTATAGTTCTCCAAAGAAGGTGGCATGCCACCCCACACAGGACCACACTGGAAAGTACCAGAGTCAAGAGGCACAGGCAGCAAGAAAAAGAATGACCCAGAGCCTTTACTGTGGTTTCTGTGGACAGGAATGAGTGAGGCAGGATAGGCAAGTTTGAACAAGTTTAGGATTGAACAGTTTGAATAATGTTGGCAGACTATTGGGGTATAAAGGTGATGTCTAGCTATCTAGTTCTTGGTCCTGGGGTGATTCAGAGCAAGAGAAGTATTGGCATGTGAGCTGGATAAAGGAAGTGTGGGGACACAGGCTTGATTGGTTGTTTTGTATATGAGAGGTGTGTTCACAAGCAAGTTGTTTGCTATTTCCAAGAATCAGCTAACCCTGGAGGGGCAGTTCCTTTCCTGGTCCCCCAAGATGTCAAAGCATCACAAAATGCAGAAAATAAACTCCATGATTCATACACATCACCCTTCCCTTTGCTCACAGTTCTAGTAGCCGCAGAAATGCTCTACTCCATCAGTAAGTTCTGTAGTGCATCTCTCAACAATCTGCCACCACTCATAGCCCTATAAAGCTACCAAATCTGTTACTATCTGGCCAAGATCCCTCCTCTGTCGCTGTCTCCCAGCCACTGGACCAGTGATGGCACCTGACCTAGACACCCCATCTATAGGATGGCTGGCAATCTATGGCTGGACTGACTGGATTTCCTCTTTTACAGATTTAAATTCAGAACCACAGAAGGAGTTTGTCATTTGATGGTAATGTGAGCTTAGAGGCTTTGAAGGAGACTCAGACCTTTCTTTGTAAGCTCCACCTTAATCCATCATTCCCTACCTCCTCCTACCCCCCAATAAATACAACAAATAGTTTATAATCTAGTTCTACTCTATAAAAACTCTGAGGGTAGTGCTAGGATTTTGTTTTGTTTTGGAGACAGACAATGCCATGTCATCATAGCCCACAGCCCAACTCTTGGGCTCAAGCAATCCTCTTGCCTCAGCCTCCCAAGTAGCTGGGAATTACAGGCTTGCACCACGACGCCTGCTAGTTTTTCTATTTTTAGGAGAGACAGGTCTCACTCTTGCTCAGGCTGGTCTGAACTCCTGAGCTCAAGTAATGCGCCAGGCTCTGCAGGGCTCAGCCTCCCAGGCGTGAGTTACCTCATGCAGCCTGGTGACTTTTTTAAAAAGATGTTTCTTTCAAATAAAGATTAACAGAGTTACACAATGAAGAAATTGTAGGAAAATCCAGACTTCAGCATGCAGTAGGGGCATAGATCTTTAAGCAACTAAACGTGTTGCAAAGTGTTGTTAATTTCACATAAACATTTTTTTAAGCAAGAAAAAAGAAAGTGTATTACCTATACACAACTTTAAGGGGTACTAGCTGCTTCTTGGAAATCTAAAATGTTAGGGTTCAAGGCCTTGGTGCTTGGAGTGCTCTTGGTGGGAAAATGATCGGACACCCCAAAGAAAGGCAAGCGTGAAACAAAGTTTTCTGAGAAAGAACAGGTAAAAGGCTTACAGAACAGGATACGTTCGCCATTGACAGCGAACAGGCCTCCATTGTCGCGACAGAGAAAAGGCAAGACGGCCTCGAATAAACATTTAAATGCGTCCGGTAGCGTCAATGGGCCGTCCGGCTTCTTTGTAGCGAGAGCACCCAGAGAAGGAAGAGAATGTCAGGCCCACCCACTCGCTGCTCCTCGCCCGGCGGTCACCGCTCCAAGGCCGCAGCCTGTCGATTGCTTCTGCCTGGGCAGGCCCTCCTGGATCGACTGCTCCTGTCTGGCTTGTCCCGAGCGCGGGAAATAAGTTTTCCCAACAATCCGGCCCCGCCGCCGCCTCCTTTTTTACACCACAACTACCTGAGGTCCCCGAATCAAGCGAGTGGAAGAGAAGCTCAAGCCGCCGCCATGTCCGAGGCTTATTTCCGGGTGGAATCGGGCGCGCTGGGGCCGGAGGAGAATTTTCTGTCCTTGGATGACATCCTAATGTCCCACGAGAAGCTCCCGGTGCGCACGGAGATCGCCATACCTCGCCTGGGCTCCTTCTTCCTGGAACGCAGCGCAGCAGCCGACACTGACAACGCGGTCCCCCAGGTGAGCCTTTGGCGCGGATTTCCGCCGGGCAGACTGCAGCCCCCGGAGGGCCTCGAAGCCCAGGGTCGCCGCGTCGGGGCGCGCGGTCCTTCGGGGTTTGTAGTCTGGGGGAGCCGGGTCGGGCGCTGACAATGTCTCCGTAGGCGTCTGTGCGCACTGTGGTCTCCGGACTTGGTGTTCGCCACCTGTGGGGAAACTGCATTGATCCTAGGTCGTCAGGCTCCCTCCAACAATGATTTCATTTTTAAGACTGTCCAAATTTACCATAGTAGTGAATACTTAAAGATTGCCTCCAAGTGAATACTTAAGGATCAGGGTTCCGATCACGTTTGTCTTAAAACAGCATGTCTAGGAACCCCAAATTGCTAGATTCATTCCTACATGACGATCATGGTGTCCGCACCCATTCACTGAGGATTTATGTAGTCCCATCGTGGATGAGGTGGGGGGGAGCGGTGTAAGCTTTTCCGTCTGTTACCTCTTTAATTCTTCGATAACCCCCTGGTTAGGTTTGGTTACATAAAAGGAAACCGAAGGCCAGAAGGGTTGGGTAACGTGGCCAGTGGTGAGCTGGGAGCAGAGCATAGGGCCTTATGGCTTCAAATACCAGTTGGTCCCAGAACATGACTTCATAATGGTTAATTTTGAATTACTGTTTCATCTGAGGTTTTGAGGGGGAGTGAAGGGGGTTGAGACTGAGTCCCACTCTGTTGCCCCCCCTTTTTTTTTTGAGATAGAGTCTTACTCTGTTGCCACTCTAGAGTGCTGAAACATCATAGATCACAGCATCCTCAAACTACTGGTTTCAAGTGATCCTCTTGCCTCTACCTCCTAGGCGTGAGCCACTGCACTGGCCTTTCACCTAAGTGTTTTTTTGAAAGAATGTTTTGTTTGGTCTTGTTTGTTTCAAGTTAATTTTTATCAAAGTAACACAATACACAAAGTTTTAACAGTCAAGTAGTACAAAAAGATTTATCACACAAAAAATTAAAGCTTTGCTTATCCCATTTCCCCCTCCACCTTTACAGGGCATGTGTGCTTTTTTTAGTGACATACTTTTTTCTGTTCAAAGATCCCATCTAGGATACCATATTGCATTTAGTAGTCATTTCTCCTTAGGCTCCTCATGGGTGAGACAGTAAGAGTTTCCATGTTTTTAATGACCTTGACAGTTTTGTGGAGTACTGGTCAGGTATTTTGTAAAGTGTTCCTCGATTGGTATTTGTTTGTGTTTTACACTGTGTTTGTAGGTCCTAGGGAGGTAAAGGACCACAGAGGTAACGTGCCATTTTCATCACATCATTTTGAGGGTGACTTATTACTGCTCATATGAACCTGGCTGAGGTAGGGTTTGTCAGGTTTCTCCACCTTTTCATACTGTACTCTTTGGAAAGAAGTCCTTGTACACAGCTGCCCTGAAGAAGTAGGGGGTGAGTCGTGTGGCCCTTCTTTGAGGACACAGTGTCCACATTAATTATTTGAAATTACTCTTTTCCATGAGCAGTTTCTGTAGGAAGGTTTCCATGACATTTAATTTCATTTGTAGATATAGGACTATTCAGATTTTCTACTTCTTCTTATGTTAGTTTTGATATATTTGTTTTAAAGTAGAAATCTGACCATTTCATCTCAATTTTCAACTGTTTGGTATAATGTTCAAAATGTCCCTTTACTATCTTTTTGATGTCAGTAGAATTGTAGTGGTGACTTTTTTATTCTTGATATTGTCTCTTTCTTGATTAGTCTTGTCAGGAGACTATCAATTTTGTTAGTCTTTTGAAAAAACTAACTTAGGGGTTTCTGTCATTTTCTTATTCTAGGTCATTAAGTTCTTACCATAGCTCTTTCCTTCTGCTTCATTTGGACTTAAGTTTCTATTATTCCCCGTCTTCCTCACATTTTGAGGTGGATACCTAGATCCTTGATTTTTCCAATCTTCCTTTATACATTTTTAGGTATGCGTTTCCTCCAAGCACATCTTTAAATGTACTTTACAAGTTTTGATTTGTTGTATTTTCATTATCAATTAAAGTATTTTCTAATTTCCATTGTGATTTCTTCTTTGACTAATCAGGTTTTAGAGGTGCTTACTTCCGCACATTTTAGGATTTGGTTATTTATCCTTTTGATTTTGGTTTCTAGCTTCATTCCTTTGGGGCCAGAGATCATAGTCTGAATGATTTCAGTCTTTTGAAAGTTGTCAAGACTTTATGCCACAGCATATGTTTGACTTACCATTCTATATGCACTTGAAAATATGTCTATTGTTGAGTCATAGTGTGCAACAAATAATTCGTATATGTAACCTAGGTCAAGTTTATTCTTATTTTTTGTTGAGATCTTCTCTATCCTAGCTGTTTTTTTGTTTGTTTGTTTACTGCCTTTTATCTATCTAAAGAAACATTAAAGTCTCTCACTGTGTTTATGGATTTATCTACTTCTATTTTTACTCCTGTCCAGAAGTCCTCAAACTTTTTAAACAGGGGCCAGTTCACTGTCCCTCAGACCATTGGAGGTCCGGACTGCGGGCCCTGGGCCCTGGGACGAGTTGGCTGCTAAGCAGGACAGGCAGCAGCAGCAAAAACACCCAGCGGGCAGATAAGTGTCCGAGGTGGGCCCCATGTGGCTCGCAGGCTGTAGTTTGAGGACGCCTGATTTAGACGGATATTTGTATTTTTCTGGTAGCTACCACGACCATTTTATCATTGTCAAGTGATCCTCTTGATTTCTAGTAATGCTTCTTTATTTTAATTAGTGTTTAATGTGACATTTTTCCATCTTTCTATTTTCAACCTTTCTGTGTCTTTGTATTTAAGGGATGTCTCATTTAAGCAGCATGTAGTTAGGTTTTGTTTTTTTATTTAGTTTGACAAATTTTAATTGGCATATTTAAGCCATTCAACTTAATTTAATTACTGATATATTTATGTTTAATTTTACTTTCCTACTGTTTCTCTTTGTGTCCCATCTGCTTTAGGTTCTTTTTTTGACTTCTTTTGGATTAATCAAATTTATTTTATTATCCATTCATATTTTTATTAGTTTACTTAGTTATACTAAATAACTAGTGGCTACCTTAAACATAATATTATACAATCTTTTTTACTAATGTGAATGTTATGTAAGTTATTACTTTCATCACAGACATTACTAGGGCCTTAGAACACTAAAAGTCCATTTTTTTCTCCTTTTGTGTTATTGTCGTGTATTTTAATTTGACTCATTTTTAACCTTATAAAACACTATCATTATTATTACATACCTACTTGTTTATTCTTTTCATTACTGTTTTTTTCTTCCTGCATTTCCATAGTATTTTCTGGAATCATTTTCATTATCTTTTCAAGATTTTCTTACTCTTACTCTTCTGGTAATAAATCAGTTTCTGTCTATGCCACAGGTCCCCAAGACCAACCCAGGTTTGATCTTTCACTAAGAAAACTCATAAGACTCAGCATATAGTCATATTCGTGGTTAAGATTTATTGTATCAAAAGATATAAAGCAAAATCAGCAGAGGCATGGGGCGAAGTCTACAGGAGACCCAGGCACAAGCTTCTGAGAGTCCTCTCCCAGAGGAGTCTCTCAGGATGCATTTAAATTCTCCAGTAATGAATTTTGACAACATGTGTGAAATATTCTCTACCAGGGGAGCTTGTTAAAGACTCACTACCCAGAGTTTTATTGGGGACTAGTCATGTAGGCGTTGTCTAATTAGCAGGTACCAAAATTCAGACTCCCAGAAGGAAAGTGAATAGAACCACGTTGTTTATACAAACAGTTTAGGCAAATGAGATACTCTCATCAGTTCTGGGACTGGTAGGAACCCTTTTGAAATCCACATTCCCAGATGCCAACCAGGGACCAACCAACCATGCAAGCAGATGGTGCAGAGATAGCAGTCTCAGGCCTGCTGCCTTACCTCTTTTCTGGACACTTTCTGTCTGAAATGCCTTTATTTTACCTTTGCTTTTAAAGGATATTTTCACTGGGTATAGAATTAGACATTTGCAGTTATTGCCTTTTATTTAGCACGTTTTAAAAAATGTCTTTCCATTTCCATCGTTTCTATTGAGAAGTTGGCCTTAACTTGCTCCTCTGTTAAAGGCAACGTGGTCCTCACCCTCGCCCACAGCTGCTTTTGAGATTTTATGTATATCTTTGGTTTTCAGCAATTTGGGTAAGATGTGCCTAACTGCAGTATATTAGTATTTATTCAACTTGTTTATAATGCTTCTTGAATCCATGGTTTGATATCTCTTTTTAATTTTGAAAAATATATAGCCATTATCTCTCCTTTTTTTTTTTTTTGGCCTTAATCTATCTTTCCTCCCCTAGTCTGTCCATGCTAGGTCTGCGTATTTTTTACTGACTGTTTTTCTAATTCATGATCTTCTCTTCATCTATGTCAAATCTAGTAAACCTGTTAAGTTTGATTTAATCTGTTAACTTCTTAAGTTCAATCATTATATTTTTCACTTCTGAAATTTCCTCAGTTTTTTAAATTGATTTTGAGTTGGTGCCAGAAATTATTAGGCTTCCTTTTCTCTATTCCTTCTCAGCTCTTGGCCCCTCGTGTCCTGGCTTCTTTGGGACCCTTAAACTTAATATTTGTTTTTCCAGTCCTATAAGCTCTGCTTCCACACCCCCCAATGCTGTTCCCACCTTTTGCAACAGCTCTCTTTTCTGATTTTAAAGATGTTATTGCTTCATTCAATCCACTTATGTTGGCTTTTGTTTTTGGTTTGGGTTTTTTTTCTCTTAATTTCTTGTCAATAATGACCACCTCATCTTGTTTTCCAAGCCTATTAAGTCTTTAAAAATATAGAGACATTTATCTTTTCTGTCATCTCTGAAGCTGTGAAGAGGATGGGGAAAGGTTGACACCTGAGCTCAGGCAGATCCTGTTTTTCTTTCTACACCCCTAACACCCAGTGTGCTCATAGCAGGTACTCAGCAACTGTATATATGGAATAGATATTGAATATTCAGAGAAAGTAGAAATGGTTACTGTACCTCTGAAGTATTGCCCTGCAATTGGATTTTTATTTATGTTACTTAGAAAACTTCCTCTTATATTAGATCTTTGTTCTCCACCATATTTTTATTGTGTAAATTCATTTTCTCGCTCCATCCCTTCACAGTATAAAACTCAATGCACACAGTCCAGTTTTCAAGTCACAACCGGGTCTTCTGCATTTGACAACTGTTCCCCGAAAGAGAACAGGCAGTGTTGCTCGGGCGATGTGTATTTTCTTTTTCTTACACTTATTTTCTATGTTCTTTTTTGGTGTTTAAAGTCTACATTCTTGTCTGATGCAGGGCTCAAAGCTCGAACTCCCCTTGTGGCTGGCAAAAGGACTTTTTGACAACAAGCGTCGGATCCTTTCTGTGGAACTTCCCAAGATCTACCAAGAGGGCTGGCGGACTGTGTTCAGTGCGGATGCCAATGTGGTGGACCTCCACAAAATGGGGCCACATTTCTATGGGTTTGGCTCCCAGCTCCTGCATTTTGACAGTCCCGAGACCACAGATATTTCCCAGTCTCTACTACAGGCAAGTAGTTGATGTGAAAACCTATGGTGCTACAGGTGTCTCAGGAGTCGGCATGACAGCCACCAGATGTCACTTTTACTCAGGGTACTGTGTGACTCGTAAACTTTGTTATTATTCCAGGCTGACCTGTAATTATACTGTGTTGGCCCTTTATATATTTTTTAAAATATGATTTGTCTGCTGCTCCTTCTATTTGCTCAATAGGAGTTGAGACCAGCAGGAAGTCCAGGAAATGAGAAAAGGGTGAGGGTAGATTACAGGTGACAGGGACTTTAGATTCATAGTCTCAGGCCAGTTGCAGAACTGGTCTGGGAGTTCCTGTTGGAAATACATGAGTTATTGGGCTATGTCCTTCCTTTGTTCAGGAGTTAAAACCTGGCTGTGCCATGGACTAGCATGCTTGGTCAAGCTCTTTGACCTCAGTAGGCATCAATTCTTCACCTGTAACATGGGAGATAATAAAGTACCAAAATTATAGAGTCATGGTAAATTATGTAGTGCCATATAATAAATAGTAACTAGTATTATTTTCCACGGACAAAATGATGTTACACATCTGTTACCATCCTTTACGGTAGAACCTTATTTTAATTTTTCATAATTATTTTTTAAGTATTAGAAGAAACCATCCTTTCTGCCTCTTAGGACATAAACAGCTGAAAGGCTTTACTCCTCATTCTTAGCTTTATGAGAACTATTGGTTCAAGACACATTTGCTCCCTGGGCTATGCTAACGTCTTTCATCAGGCTTCAGGGTTGTTTGGCCTGCCATGTACTAGTGCAGTTTGTAATGTAGATAAAAGGGGAAACATTGTTGCTAGGCACTCAGTAAAAGAAGTCAGTGAATTCATAGTCAATAGACAGTTCAAGTTTAGGAAATTCTTTTTTTTTTCTTTTGAGATATAGTCTCAAAAGAGACTGGGTTGAGTGCCATGCTATCATCATAGCTCATAGCAAACTCAAGAGATCCTCTTGCCTCAGCCTCCTGAATTGTTAGGACTACAGGTGCCCACCACAACACCCAGTTAATTTTTTTATTTTTAGTAGAGACAGGGTCTTGCTCTTCCTCAGGCTGGTCTCAAACTCCTGAGACCAGAAATCACCTGTTTTGACCTCCCAAATGCTAGGAATATAGGTGTGAGCCATTACACCTGGCCAGGAAATTCTTTTGAGCAAAAAATAGTTCTTAAATTGCAATCCTACCCCTTTTTTAGTGAGTTGTATATTTTCTTTCTCTATCACTGCTTCAAAGTACTTTAAAGGTGACTTTACCCTAAAGCAATTGAAGAACCTGGAGCAGAGGCTTATGGTTTGTGCTCAGAGCCTAGTGGGAAAAGGGTAGCCCAGATAATATGTGTCCACATCCTGCTTCCAGACTGAAAGACAGAAACTGCATTCAGTTAAATCAAGGGGTTTTTCTGGTTGAAAACTGTCCGCATGTGGCTACAGTATGTTATTGCTAATAACAATAATAGAGAATGCTTTCTGAGGAGTCACTGTGTGCCCACCGTTCACTGGGTGCTTTATGTGTATTACTTCCTTGGTTTTCATAAGAGAATTTCATAGGCAAGGAAACCAAGGTTGGACAACGTGCATTAACCTACCTGACTGGTAGAGAGCACTCAGACCTCCTGACTGAGTCCCGAGACCTAATTCTTTCTTTTCATACCACTTAAAGTTCTAAGACAGAAATATATCTCGCTTTAAGGAGTGTGAGATCAGTCCTGACTTCTCTTTCGCCCCTCCTCCTCAGACTTTCATTGGACGTTTTCGGCGCATCATGGACTCTTCCCAGAATGCTTACAATGAAGACACTTCAGCACTGGTAGCCCGGCTAGACGAGATGGAGAGGGGCTTATTTCAAACAGGGCAGAAAGGACTGAATGACTTTCAGAGTTGGGAGAAAGGGCAGGCCTCTCAGATCACAGCTTCCAGCCTCGTTCAGAACTACAAGAAGAGAAAATTCATGGTCATGGAAGACTGAAGGCAGAAGAATACGGAATTGTTCCTTGTAAACTCGTGTGTCCTTGATAAGAGCTGTTGACCTTACACAGGACCAGACTCATGTCCCATATCATGGCTTATGTCCTGTAGCAGTCTCAGGAATGGTACCATGTGGTTGCGAATGGACATGCTGCAGGATGTCCCTGGCCCTGCGAGTTTTCTAGGGCTATCCTGCTCTGCTGACCCTCAGCCCTGGCCTTTTAACCCCAGAACCCACAGCTGAAGAGAAATCAAAGTCATTCCTAAATAAGGATCATTGACATATGTATCGTGGTAGCATTGTAACTGGTACTCCTTGTGTCTGGGAGTTTAGATGCCTCAAATGTCCAGAGACTGTCTGCACAGGACAGGTACAAATTGGGTTATCTTGGCCTGTTCACAAAATGTTCTCTTGATCTTACTTGCCTCATCTTCCTCATGGTTGTAGGGAGGACAGCACCCCTCCGATGCTGTCCTGACTTATAAATACGCCCTGCTGCCTACCTGCAGGGATTTACCCCAGTTTCCAAAAACAGTCACCAGGAATAAAGGAGGAAAAGAGAAAGGCAGATGAATGGCATGGTTCTGACTGAAGAAAGGATGTTGCTTTCATGCTCTGTAGTCAGGCCTTTGTGGACTGGAATTCACATAACTCTACAGTCAACCTAGAAGGAAAATGGTTAAACTGAGCTTATTTTATCTGTGAGAGCTTTAGAGCACCCGCACATTTATTCCATTCCCTGTCTAGAAAAGCTGTCAGGGAGTCGCTGGGAATTGCAAAATAGTTATTAGAGGATGTTAACCAGCCTTTATTACATCCAGAAATCAGGGCTTGAATTGAAGGTTGCCAGCTGTGAAGAGTCCCATTTGAGAAACTTCATATGGCAAATGAAAGTGGGAAGTAAGCCTCAGTTGTGTTTTTTTCCCTTTTCCAGTTGTGACTTTATTGCATAGAGGACCTGTGTAAGCATCCCCAAAACTTCCCCTGAGATCAAGGGGGCAGCCTCAGGCTGAGTAAGAAACAGCATTCCCTGAGCCCTTTGGACTATTTGCAGAGCACCCCTGCTTGTCTCCCTACTCCCTGACTAGCAAAACTTGCCTTTGGCATTGGAAATGAGAGGGATTTATAACTCACAATGACAGAAACCCTTTTAACGTATCTGTTTTAAGATGGAATTGATGTTTTTATAATTTGATTTTAGTGCTAAATAAATTATCGGCTTTGCACATGAATACATTATGGACAAGTACTATTTCTGTAACTTTAGTACTACAGACGATCAGCAAAGCTATCAGAGAATTTTGCCTTTGATCATATTTGACAAGAATGCCCAAATAAATCCATGTTTCAACAACTGCTCTTTTGCTTGTGTGATACCCATAAGTAGGAGGGACATTCTCCATAAGAATGTGCTGTGTCCTGGGAAGATGACCTATCCATTACTGCTACAATATTGATTTAGAGTTGGGGCCCCAGAAGTCATTCATAGAGTAAGAAAAGCATATTTAATTTTGGGCACCATTATTTTCACAGATAAGCTTGTATTTAAAATTAACTTGTAAGACTGGTGCTGTATTTTTTCTTTTACTAAAGGGTGGCTCACACCTGTAATCCCAGGACTTTGGAAGGCCAAGGTGGGAGGATTGCCCACGGCCAGGAACTTTGAGGCCTGCCTGGACAATATAGCAAGACCCCATCTCTACAATACAATTAAAAAATATTAGCCAGGCATGGTGGCATGTTAGAGAGGAAGTGCATACCGCCGGCTGAGAAAGAATTCTTGACTCAAGGATATGTTTGAAGTAAAAAGTTTATTTTATTTTCCAAGGGAGGAAAGGACATGGCATGAAAGAAGTGCTGGCCCCGAGGATGATCAGCATCAGCTTTCACTGGGGTCATAAAGGTTAAATATGTAGTTACTGCTGCAAAATGATAAAGGGAGGCAGTTTGTGTTTTCCACTGTCAGGCTGGCTCATTGGACTTCACAGAATGTGGTCTGGCAGATGTGGAGGAATATTACACCCTTTCTGTCCTCAATGCTATTCTAGTGCTGCGAAACACTTTAAAAATGAGTTAACCTTGGGGGGCACCAGTGACTCAAGCAGTAGGGTGCCCGCCCCATATACCAGGGGTGATGGGTTCAAGCCTGGCCCCAGCCAAAACTGCAAAAATTAAAAAAAAAAAAAACTTAACCTGGGTCGGGCGCAGTGCTCATGCCTGTAATCCCAGCACTTGGAGGCTGAGGCGGGTGGATTGCCTGAGCTCACAGGTTCCAGACCAGCCTAAGCCAGAGCAAGACCTCGTTTCTAAAAAAAATAACTGGGCATTGTAGTGGGCACGTGTAGTCCCAGCTACTTGGGAGGCTGAGGCAAGAGAATCAGTTGTGCTATGATGCCACAACACTACTGAGGATGACAAACTGAGACTCTGTCTCAAAAAAGTTAACCCACACATGGCTAAACAAACAAAGGGCCATGAGCTTTTTTTCCTAGGTACTCAGGAAGTTGAGGTGGGAAGATTGCTTGAGCTGTAGTGGGTTATGATTATGCCTCTGCATTCCAGTCTGGGTGGCAGGGTAAGATCCTGCCTCTTAAAAAAAAAATTACTTAAGGTGGCACCTGTGGCTCAATGAGTAGGGCAC